ATATTTTGACTACTGTGAACAGTGCTGCAATTAATAAATAGGTGTAGGCGTCTCTCCCACTTATGGATCTCTCTCAGTCACTCTCTCAGTCTCTGTGTGTCTCTCTCCACATTCATATTCATACATCTATCTATCATCTATCTATCTACCTATTTATCTATATATCTACTTATCTGTATATCTGCATCTATGTACATCAGTATATCTATATATCTACACATGTATATATCTATATGTATTCACTAAGGGATGGTAGAAAGATGTCATTAAAAAATATGTATAAGTTGAGTGTGGCCATAGGAAAGAGAATGGGTAGAACTTTACAGATCTCTTTCAGTTCTGAAGGAGTTTTACTCAACAAAAAATAACATAAATAAAGTTGGGTAGTAGTTATGACTGTAATATTGGAAGTTTCAACAAATATTTAATTGAGGCAATGTGATGACACTACGTATATATATATATATATATATATATGTGTGCATGCATATGTGTGCATGTTGTATAGAATATATATATATTACTTTGGCATGAAATTCTATTGAATATGGTTTACATCTTTGATGTGTTTTGTGTTTGTTTGTCTGTTTTGTGGTCCTGGTGATGGAACCTTGGAATTGCTGAGCTGCATTTTCCCCGTTTTAGTTTGAGGCAGAATCTCACTGGATGATCCATCCTGACCTAGACCTCATGACCCTCCCACATCAGTCTTCTAGGCTACTGGCAATACAGGCATGTGTCACCACGTCCAGGTCTCAGTGTGTTTCCAAACCTCTCCAGTGTGGTAGTATGATAGTCTATGACAGAACCCACAAAAAGCTTAAAACTGAGATATGAGACCTAAGAAAATCTTGTATGCAAAACCTGCTGGGTTTGGGTCTTGCTTTGGTCCAATTCCTTTTTATTCCCAATTTCTTCCTTTTGCAGTGGGCGTGTTTACCCTGCACCACTGTATGTTGGGAATGTTTAGCTTTAATTTTTAGCTTTATCTGGTGCTTACAGCTGAGTTTGCCTTCAGTCTCAGAGGAGACTTCATAGCCCAAGCACATAAGCAACAGCAAGACTCTGTCTCAGAGAAAAAATTAATTAACTAAAATTAAAATTAAAAGGACTCTGGATGCAGTGCAGCGTGAAGGCCCTGGGTTCAAACTCTGGCTTTGGACACAAATAAACACACACTTTGAAAAATCACTGCATAGAACCATGATTCACAGAGACACATGCAATCTCAGGGAGTACACTCACATCATGTCCTACACGGTGCCTGCGGGCCCTGGACGTGCATCTTGGAAAGCACTGTTCGTGTACTGGCTCGGAATCTGCTCCTTTCTCCACACTGTCCTGCAGGCAGGAAAAGACATAACGTTGCCTCTTTCTGCAACTTATTTAGACTTTACCCAAATTACAACTGATTTGTGCTTCCATCGTCTCCTTGTGTGACCAGTGTAACAGCAAATGGTCTTCTGACTGACTAGCAGATGAGCAAATACTTACATAAGGTTCAGATAGATTCTAACTTACAATATATGTCCAACAAGTGTGTGCTTTTATTAGAGTTGTCTCACCAGTAGATCCATCATACTTCTGGAGTTTGAAGAAATTCTGATGGCAATTTAGGCAGCTACCCTTCCAGCACTAAAGGATTTTATCATCTTAGAAAGGGAAAGTTCATGAAAAATATTTGGCCTATTTCAAAATGGCACCATGAGATTGGCTCACGTATCTCATACCTCGATGTGGAATTCTATCATGGAATGTAATTGAAGTCTGGAAGGAGATGCGTTTGATTTTAGAAGACTGATCCTCAAATTAGTGTATTTTTCTTTTCTTTAAGTTTTTAAATAATAGTTGCACAGGTACATGAGCACATTGTGATGTTATGCACAATGTGTAGAAACCAAATTGAGTAATTTGTATATCTTCACCTCAAGCACTTATTTTTTTGTGATAAGAACATTGAAACTCTCTCCCCTGGTTATTTAAATACGTATATACAGCATTAGTAACTGTGCTCACCTTACTCTACACTAGACAATCAAATTAGGGTGATTTCAAAACAAATTTTCTGGTAACATACCAAAGGGATTAATTATTTTTGAGTTTTCCATAACATAGATTTCAAATTAAAGTTTTGTGGGGGGTATGCTATCAAGAGTAGTATTTATTTCCTATTTCCCAGGAGTTTGATTTACAGTATAAAGTCTCTACTGTATGTAGTTAACATCTTAGGTTTCCTGAAGGAAATATATGCTTTTTGAGTCTGTTCAACAGAATTAGAGTCTGGTTGCTTGGAAATAAACACATCTACTTTTGTTAAAACAAAATTATATCACAGGTGTGTCTAACTCATTTGTTCTTTAATTAAAGAACCTTAATAGGAATCCTTATCCTGTGCACTTACTCTCAAAAATGTTTTGTCTTTTATTTGGGAGATAGTTGGTGAGAAATTAGAACTATTTTCCCTGTAGTATCAAAGATTATATAAATACATATGTATGAAAATAGGCAAAACAAAATGATATTGAATCTCTCTATCCTTCTCTCTCCCTCTCTCTCTCTCTGTCATCTGTCTCCATCTCTGTCTGTCTCTCTGTCTCTGTCTTTGTCTGTATCTGTCATCTCTGTCTCACTTTTTCTCTCTTTCTCTCTCTCTCTCTCTCTCTCTCTCTCTCTGTCTCTCTCTGTCTCTCTCTCTCTGTCTTTCTCTCCTCTCTCCTCTCCTCTCCTCTCCTCTCCTTTTGCTACAACTTTGTACATGAATTCTCTAACTTACTGTAAAAGTTGAGCTGCCAGTTGCCATTGCCTTCCTGGTCCTGACAGTTGAATTACAAACCTTTAAACTGTTCAGGGCATGTGACTTCCTTTGCTCAGCAAAGGAGAAGAATACACTCGTATATGTTTTGGAATTCCTGAAGACAAATTTCCTGTGTTTTAAAAAAGGATTATTTTCTTTCATCCAGACAAACATCTTATTTTGTTTTTGTTGCTGTTATTGTTGGGTTTTAGTCTTGTGATGAAACAACCATGATTTCAGCAGAAAAATTTATTTCATTTCTTTAAAACTTGTTCCAGATATGGAGAAAACACCAGGCTGAATTTCTTGTCCAGACTATAGTCACTCAATCCTTACTGTAGAGTGTTAGTGAAGTCATGTGTCTTCTTATGCTACAGAGGAAGAGCACAAGAATTAAAGTAGTGAATTTTTGTTTAGTTTAGCTTTTAGACAGGGTCCTATATATTAAAACATATGCATATATATTAAAACATCACAGTATTCACAATACAATTATTATTTAGTAGTTTTTAAAAAAGAAAATATCCCTAATTTGGAAATCAACCTTATAAGACCAAGTACAGGCCACTTTTAAACTCACTCTATAGTCCTGGCGAACCTCAACCTGACAATGCTCCTGCTGCAGCCTCCCAAGTGCTGGGATTAGGGGTGCGTATACTGGTGCCTGACAGATTATTAAATTTCTTTTAGATCTGTTGTTTAAAGAAAAATTCCAGATAGTACTTTCCATTTATATGCAATACAGAATTTAGCTACTTTCCCTAACCAATTTTTGAGAGATGTTAGAAAGTTATGACGCATCCCTTTGTGAAAAATGTGAAAATTTATGTACTGGGGTTGTAGCCAAATTTAAATTGATGATATTTAATATCAACATGCATTCACATGCCTACATACGCATTCTCATATATAGCTACATGCCTGCATCCTGCATCTTACCAGTATGTGCTTTTGAGATTAATCATTTTCAAAACATAATTTGAAGGTACATGATAATTTCCTACCCTAAGTAGGATAAGTCATGGGTTAGCAGTTTATTCACTTTTAGCTGTAATTTTTTATTGTTATATCACAAACTATACTATATCTCTAAACTATACTATATCACAAACTATACTTTATCTCTAAACACAGGCATTCATATTTGTACAATATGGTCAAATTCATTATACTATATTACTAATAACAAAATATCAAAATAAAAATATTTGTATTGTTGTGATACTAAAACATTGAATACCTGTGGCAGAATTTTTTTTACAAACTGTATTCAAATGTTCCATATTTCTGAGTCAATATAGGCCAGTGATGCCTAGCCAAGTGCCCAAACTGCAACCCAAAACTTATTTATTTATCACAAAATGCCAGCGTTGCAATTGGACTGGGACACTGTGGTTTTAGTTTAGAAAACGCAGCTCATACAACTTGTGATGTCATCGCAGAGAGGGCTGTGTGTGCTCACTGTGATACACGTGCCATAGGTTCGCCACCACTATAGGCCTTTGTAATTATCATTAGTGAATTAAATAAATTTGTTAAATTGCTAAGTGAAAATGATTGTGGATGTCAGTGTATATTTCAAATCTACATTTCTATGCTGAACAATTCTAAATATAGACAGTCTTCAGAAACCACTGAATTTGAAGGAATTATTTTATAGTCCCCAATGATGGAATTGATAAGAACATGTCTGCTACAAATTAGGTTACTGACAAATTGAACAACAGAAGCAGCAGCAAAATATTTTGTATTATACAGAATCACAGCAGCTGCTGCACTCCTTGCATATAAGAAGGTCACATTTTTATTAAACAGGAGTGAAGTTGTATGTACCATTAGCAAGTCATTTTCTCAATGTCACAGTCCGTCATGGCATCTGAGTCCACAGACAACTCAATCGTACTGGAACAGTGAGTGAGTGGGAATTGTTTGAGGTTATTACTGATGCTGAAATTAATTTTCACCACTGGGATTCATTCTCATGTACATTTTGAGTTATTCTGACCATTGCTTAATAATTTGAAACTTGTGTTTCTGTTACACTCCATGCACATATATGTTTGACATCAGCTTTTATATCCTCCTGAAGTTAAAATAAGCCTTTTTCCCTCTCATTTCTTTCCAGAAGTAACACAAAGTTTCTCAATTGTATTTGCTGCAGCACCTGACTGCTGTTGGAATTGGGGAGGAAAACTGCAGCACGGTGATGGAGTTCATTCTCCTCGGGCTGTCAGACGTCCCTGAGCTGAGACTCGTCCTCTTCCTCCTGTTCCTTCTCAGCTATGGTGTCACGGTCTTGGCCAACCTGGGCATGGCGGCACTGATTCAGGTCAGCTCCCAACTTCACACCCCCATGCACTTCTTCCGCAGCCACTTGGCCTTTGTGGATTTCTGCTACTCCTCTGTCATCGCGCCAAAGATGCTGGCTAATATCATAAACAATGACAAACCATTTCTTTCCTGGGATGCACTGTGCAATTTTATTTATTCTGTACATATGTAATCACTGAGGTCTTCTTCCTGGACGTGATGGCCTATGACTGCTTCGCAGCCATCAGTAACCCACTGCTGTACACGGTCATCATGTCCCAGAAGCCCTGTGTGATGCTAGTTGCTTGCTGTTACCTCTGTGCATCTGTGTGTTCTCTGATTCACCTGTGCTCAGCCCTTGAGATCCCCGCCTACAAGTCCAATGTGATCGATCACTTCTTTTGCGACCTGCCCCCTCTCTTAAGTCGTGCTTGCTCTGATGTCACCATGAACGAGGTGCTGCTGCTCATCGTGGTAAATTTCAATGAGATCTTCACCATTGCGATCATCCTCACCTCCTACGTGCTCATTCTCATCACCATCTTGAGGATGCGCTCCGCCGAGGGAAGACGCGAAGCATTTTCCACCTGCGCCTCCCACCTCGCAGCCATCGCTGTCTTCCACGGAACAATCCTTTTTATCTATTGTCAGCCCACTTCTGGCGATAATCTGGATGTTGACAAGGTAACCACAATGTCCTACACTGCCGTGATTCCCATGCTGAACCCTCTGATCTACAGCCTGAGAAACAAGTTCAAAGTAGACAAATAAATCAGAATACATATTATATTTATTAAATTCATTCATAACTGGTTTTTCTTCACCAGCTTGACTTCTGAGGTCTTCCAAGTGTAACTTGCTAAATAGACATCTTTTTGCCTATTTCAAGTCTATCCCTCCATCTCTTTGCATAGAATATTCTAATAGTTGTTTAATAAATTTATTTTAGTTGGTTAAATCAAGTGAAATCACAAATATCAGGACCTAGTGTTTTCTATAATCTACCATGTGGGAAGTCAAAACATGTTTTTGAGACAATCTCATGATATAGGCAAACATATTACATCATTTCATTTTATGTTTAATGAATCCCTTAGTGGAATTGTTTAATTGCTCACAGATTTTTCCATTGGGAGATTTAGATATCACAGTTTGGGTCCCTGTGATCTTATGTGAGATCAAACAAAAGCTGACTCAAAATCCTCAAATTAAATCATACTAGGTCTTGCTTATCCAAAGAAAACAGAGCCTTCTTAAATGAGGCGCAAATTCCTTCTGTGAACACAGAAGGCCTGGCCTGCATGCAGTATAATAAATGTTGAAATGGATTGTTTTGAATTGTTCCTTACACATCAAAATGTTTTTTGAAGGAAGAAAATGAACTGGGGTAGCAACGGTACAATTAAAAGGTAAGTGAAAGCTAGTGACCTAGTAAATACTCCTATAACCTTGGGATGTAGGGCTGGGTGGGATTTTACTCGGTCATGTTCTTTATAGGTGCTTATGGTACATGTAGCTGGCTGATATCTTGATAGTAAATGTGCCCAGTGTCCTGCAGATTTGAAATCTTCTAGATGTTTCCAATAAAAGCAACAGCAGCAAGCTAGTGTTTTGAGTGCTGCTATTCTATTTTTACTAGTTACATGTGCACAGCATATAATGACCACGTTCCGCACGTTGAGTTGGTACATGTACAAAGCACATCTTTTTTATTTTAAAGATAAAAGAATGAAGACATATTAACAGATACACATACATTTACAAAATAACAGAAAAACAATGCAAACAATACAGAATTTCAGACAAGGTGGTAGGAAATTAGCAATGGTTGTTGTATTACATATTGATATCTTCAAATTAGTTACTCAGATAAACAAATATAGGGATGTAAGATTGATCAAACAATTAAACATTAACTGTTCCTTTCAATAAAGCAATAGAAATCAGTAGTACAACTATCTTAGCTATCCTGTGTATACATATATACATATTTTTCCCTTCTTTCTTTCTTTTCTCTTTCTTTCATCCCAGCTGTTCTTTCCTTTAAGCAGTTTCCTTCCCTTTCACAATACCTATTGTACCTCCTAGATTTTATTCACTCTTTCAGGTTCTTACACTAGTGAGACAATATGGTGTTTACTCATGTGGTTCCAATTTATTTCACTTATGAGTATGGTCTCTAGGTGTGTCCACTTACCCATAAAATCCCCAAGTTCATCTTTCTTTACAGCTGAATAAATATTCCATCATATAAAAGTACCACAACTTTTTCATCCATTCCCCAGTGGATGGGCATTTGGGTTGCTTCTATGATTTAACTATTACAAATTGTGCTGCTATAAATATGGGTGAACATATATTGCTGTGATATGATGTTTTCAGTTCTTCTGGAAAAATACTCAAAAAGAAAATAGCTGGATTGAATGGGACCTCTAGTCCTAGTTTACCGAGGAACCTCCAGACTGATTTCCACAGTGGTTTCACCAGTCTATACTCCCACCAGCAGTGGAGAAGGGTTTCTTTTTCTCCACAGCCCCACCAGAATTTGTTATGGGTTGATTTCTTGATGATAGCCATTCTATCTGGAGTGAGATGGAATTACAGCATTGTTTTAATTTGCATCTAAGGAATGACCAGCAATGTTGAATATTTTTTCAAATATTTATTTGCTGGTTGTTTTTCTTCATCTGAGAAGTGTGCATTCACTTCAGATGCCCATTTTGGATTGGGTCTTTAAATTTGGGAGTTATGATTTTTAAAATTCTTTATATGTTCTAGGTATTAGTCCTTTGTCTGAGGAATAGCTGACAAAAACTTTTCCCCACACTGTGGTTGCCTCTTCACTCTGTTGACAATTTCTTTTGCTCTGCAAAAGCTTTTTAATGAGCTCCCTCTTGTTGATTCTTTGTAGTATTTCCTGTGCAATCAGCCTTTTGTTCATAAAGTCTTTGCCTACACCATTGTCTTCAAGAGTTCTACCTATTTCTCCTCTCAGCAGATTTAGTGTTTCTGTTTTAATACTCAACCAATAACAAATGCTGGAGAGGCTGTAGGGAAAAAGGAACCCTTCTCCACTGTTGGTGGGAGTGTAGACTGGTGCAACCACTGTGGAAATCAAAGTGGAGATTCCTCAAAAAAACAAAATTAGAGTTTCCATTTGACCCAGCTCTTCCCCTTCTTGATATCTCCCAAATGAATTAAAAACATCATAGTACAGTGATATATGTACACTCCTCATGATGTAGCACAGTTTGTTATAGCTAAGTCTTGGAAATAGCCCAAATGTCCATCAACCGATCAATTGATAAAGAAGATACAGGGGCTGGGGATTTAGCTCAGGGGCTGGGGATTTAGCTCAGCGGCAAAGCGCCTGCCTGGCAAGCACAAGGTCGTGAGTTCGGTTCCCGTTACCGGAGAAAAACCAAAAAAAAAAAAAAGAAGATACAGATTTCTCTTAATACAGTGGAATACTAATTGGCCATAAAGGAGGAAAAAGCATTTCCAAATGAATGGATGGACCTTGAGACCACACTCAAATGACATAAATTGGACAAGCATATGTAAACACCACATTGTTTCTCTGCTGTGAGGAACCAAAAGTGTAAATAAGGTCCAAAATGTATAATAGATATTGTGAAATGGGAAGAAAATGATCAAATGGCAAAGGACACTAGGAAGGGGGTGAGCAAAAGGAAGGAAGGGAAAAGAAAAAAGAGAAAAGAAGAAAAAATGGAAACAAAGCTTTTGTAAATAAGGAGGGAAAGAAGGGTTGAGGGAGGGGAAGGGAATGGGACAAAAAAAGGAAGTAAGATATATCATGTACAAGTACAAGTTCCCTACCATGAATGTGATCATTACGTACACCCAAAATGTAATTTTTAATTAATTTTTGAAAAGAAGACAAGTGATATATTCCTGATTTAATTGTACAAATTAAAAAGTATGCTTTAAACTACACTAACTATAGACACACCTCATTGCTGTGAGAATGCTCGAGTGGATTTAGAGTCACTGTTTGATGACTTTGACCTTTGATTCTCTTCTCTTTGGTTAGCGTCCAGCTCTTGCTACCCGTTCTATCCTTCCTCTATGCCCTCTCCGGGCACCGAGAAGCGCTGCGGATGACGCGTCCGGAGAACAGCACTGTGACCGCGGAGTTCCTCGTGGTGTTCAGCGACCACCCAGAACTTCGGCAGCTGCTTTTCGCTGCGTTCTTTTCCATTTACTCTGTCACCTTGGTGGGGAACCTTGGCATGGTTCTGTTAATCTCAGTCAGCTCCCACTTGCACACCCCCATGTACTTCTTCCTCCGCGTGCTCTCCTTCGTGGACGTGAGCTACTCTTCTGTCATTGCCCCCAGGTTACTCGTGAACTTGATTTCTGATGAGAAGACCATTTCTTACAACGGCTGTGCTGTGAAGTTATATTTTTTCTGCTCTTTGGTTGACACAGAATCTTTCCTCCTGGCTGCAGTGGCTTAGGACAGGTATATGGCAATCTGCAACCTGTGATAATTACAGTGTAAATTATGTCTGAATTACACTGTGATTATGTCTAAGAGAGTTTGTGGCCAGCTCGCACTTGGAGCATTTCTCGGGGCACTGTAAGCTCAATTATTCACACCACTAACACTTTCCTTCTTGAGTTCTGCTCCCAGGAAATAACCCACTTCTTTTGTGATACCTCTCCACTCTTATCTCTGTCCTGCACTGACACGTACATGCATGACATCATTCTGGTGGTGTTTGCTAGTTTGGAGGAAGCTGTTTGTCTTCTAACAGTTCTCCTCTCATGTGTGTGTTACAGCAGCCATCCTTAAAACAGGCTCAGCAGGAGGAAGAAGGAAAGGATTCTCCACCTGTGCTTCACACCTGATGGTGGTCACCATATATCACGGCACTCTGATCGTCATTTACTTGCGCCCAAGAGCAGGACATTCAATGGACACTGGCAAAGTGACTTCTGTGTTCTATACATTGATTATACCCATGCTGAACCCCCTCATTTACAGCTTAAGAAACAAGGATGTCAAAAATGCCTTTAGAAAAATAATTAACAAAAAAGGCCGTCTTAATATAAGAAATGGGCCAAGCAATTTGAACAATGTTCAATTTCTGTTTCTGTTCGACAGTTAATTTAACATGGATAACCTCCAAATCAGTGGATAGAGAACTCCCAAATAGAGAAGACTGTGAGTGCCTCTTACTATACTGGGGCTCTCTCACATTTCTTGTGTGACGCACATTTGCTTGCTCTTTTAGAGTTGAAAGTTTTAATATCTGTTTCAGAGGAAGATTCATCCTTCACTTCACCTTCCACTTCTCACATCCTTTCATTTTTTCATTCCCTTTTTCAAACATTTTCATAGGTACTCTCAGTAATGGACAAATCACAGACGTGATAAGAATCCTCTTTTGGTCAAAGAAAATAAATATAGTTCACAAAGATTCATCATCACTTGATTTTAATTCTCACGCATATAGGTGCACATTGTGACCTCTCCAAACCTACTCACTCTAAAATTCTTTCCTGAGGTATTAAGCCTTTCATACTTTTCTTGAATTTCCTTTCCATTTCAAATGATAATTTGAAAATAAAAAAAATAAAAAAATAAAAATAAAAACAAATGATAATTTGTACTCCAAGTCTCTCTGAAATCTTAGTTATACTCTGAAGATGACATATTCTCTCTTACCTTGTCATAGTTTGTATGTGTGTTCCACCCTTCTCCAAGGGTTATTCATTAAGTCTCATTTAACAATCTCTTGCTT